TTTGTGCCAACGTGTTGAGCATTTTATACTTAATGCGTGATACAAATTTCATCCCTTAGCACCTGTTAGGGAGGGAGGAGTGAATTTTTAACAGAGCGAAGAGATTGAAAAAAATTTTTTTTTTCAAATGAATTCTCCAAAGAGCAGAGATTGATAAAATTTTTTTTTTCAATTCAAAAATTCATTCCTCGGACCCTAACTGCGACTAAGGGATGAAATTTGTGCCAACGTGTTGAGCATTTAATACTCAATATGTGACAATAACTTTATCCCTTAAGGACAGTTAGGGAGGGACGAGTGAATTTTTTAAAGTGCGAAGAGATGGAAAAAAAAATTCAATTCAAAAATTCATTCCTCGGACCCTAACTGCGACTAAGGGATGAAATTTGTGCCAACGTGTTGAGCATTTAATACTCAATATGTGACAATAACTTTATCCCTTAAGGACAGTTAGGGAGGGACGAGTGAATTTTTTAAAGTGCGAAGAGATGGAAAAAAAAAATTTTCAATTCACAAATTCATTCCTCCCACCCTAATTGCGACTAAGGGATGAAATTTATGCCAACGTGTTGAGCATTTAATATAGAATAAGTGACACGAATATCATCCCTTAGCGCCTGTTAGGGAGGGAGGAGTAAATTTTCGAAAGAGCGAAGAGATTGAAAAAAAAATTTGTTTTCAAATGAATTCTTGTATCGTCGAATGATACTTCCAAAACGCCGCGGTCTGCCTTGTTTGGATATTGGATTCGGATTGAAAATGAAATTGGAACACGGGAGATTGTCTTTAAAATAATAATAAATATATTCTGATGATAATGCCGGATTGTACAGTTTTACACGAAGTTTGATATTTTGAATGGACTGTATTTTAGTTGAAGTCGGAACTGTAACTAACTGGAAAATTGGGAAGTCGCAGCTTTTATGTGCGTGGAAGTCAAGAAATTCTCGGTGATTGGTTGTTGTGCGGTGGAAGAGATGACTCTTCGGAACGGTGCTAGGATTGGCTAGAAATTGGAAGGGAAGGGAGCGGTTAAGCGGGAAGCTCTGGGATTGGTTTGGCGCAGGGTGGAGGAGAAGGGGTCGCTGGGACTCAAGTGAGTCGGAGTGTGTCAAGACCCACTGGGGTGTTGGCGACGGATTGTCGGGATAGGGATTAGGTGCATCAAGGCTTCCTGGGGTGTTGGCGACAGACTGTCGGGACTAGGGATTAGCAATACCCAAATATTATGAGTGGTTTATGAGGCCAGGTGCAAGCCTTGAATCATGGAATGAGTATTGATGGGTACTAATGATGGGGAACTACGTGAGAAAACAGAGGCTCAGGAACAATTACCGGGGAAATACGCGAGGAAATGAATGTTCAGAAACAATAGTCTAGGAAATTCAAGGAAAGTTGTGAATTTGGCAGCTGCTCTCAAAATATTGAAAATAAAAGAAATGTATGAATAAACGATTCATGGAATTGATCCTCACGACTCAACATTCTCCCCCGTTGAGAGGCTTGTCCGATCAAGCGTAGCTGCCATGCTCTCGGGTTGGTCATGTGTTGGTTGACGGCTGGTGGCGTAGGGCTCCACAGGTAGGACGGCCAACTTCTTGACATTGCGCGTATAGACACCTGAGGCTGTCTTCACTTTGACAGTCCTGATGAATCCATCCCCACCTGGATGGACACTGATGACTCTCCCCAATTTCCACTTGAGGGAATGTAGATTGTCGTCTCCGATGACAACAATGGAATTCTCCTTGATATCGTGTTCACCTCTCTTCCACTTCCTTCTGATGTTCAATTCGTTGATGTATTCCTTGTGCCATCGACTCCAGAAATCTTGCTTCAATTTCTGGACGTGTTACCAAGAGGACAAGCGGTTGCTTGGAGTCTCGATGAAATTAGGCTCAGGAATGTTGGTGAATGTGTCACCGATGAGGAAATGAGCCGGGGTGAGAGCAGAGAGATCGTTGGGATCTGATGACATAGGAGTCAGGGGACGAGAGTTTAGGATGGCTTCGATCTCGGCTGCCAGCGTAATGAGATCTTCGAAACTCAATAGGGTGGTTCCAGCGACTCTGAGTAGATGATGTTTGAAGGATTTCACCGCCGCTTCCCAGATACTTCCCACATGAGGTGCTTGGGGTGGGATGAAATGCCAGGTAATCCCTCTCTCTGCAACATAGCTGTTGACCTCCTGCTGCAGCTTCTCGGAGTTTAGGAGCAGGTATAACTCCTTCAACTCATTGCAAGCACCCTTGAAATTTGTTCCGTTGTCTGAAGAAATCACAGAGCACCTGCCTCTCCGGCTGATGAAACGGCGCAGAGCGGCAAGGAAGGCTTCTGACGTCATGTCACTCACGACCTCGATGTGTACAGCCCTGGATGAGAGACACACGAATATGGCGACATAGGCCTTGATTCGGCCACGATTGCGGAGCTTCTTCTCCTTCACGAAAAATGGATCACAGTAGTCCACACCGGTATTGTAGAATGGTCGTGTTGCTGTCACCCTTTCTCTCGGTAGTACGCCCATCTGATATTCAACATCAGGAGGTTTAGCACGGATGCATCGGTGACAACTTTTGATGACTTGGCGAACTCGGTTTTTTCCATCCAACAACCAAAAGCGTTCGCGGATGCTGTAAAGGGTGCTCTGGATTCCAGCGTGTAGGCAGTTGCGATGTTCCCATTCGATAATCAATCGCGTAGCAGCAGAATTTTTGGGTAGCACGAGAGGGTGTTTCTGATTGAATGGTAAATCAGAACGTTGAATTCTGCCTCCCACTCTGATTAGACCATCAGAGTCGATGAAAGGATTCAGCTGGAGCAGTGGACTAGTTGACTTGACTGATTTGATGTCCTTGAGATCAGCCAACTCCTTCTTGAAATGATCACCTTGAATCAGCCTCATGGTAGGAATGAAGGCACGTTGGATCTCTGCGGCTGAGATGAACTTTTCCTTGGGACGATCTTCCTTATGGACTCTCCAGCGTAAAATCCGAGCGATGATTTTCTGGATCTTGATGATGGATGAATGTCTCGTGAAGAGTTCAATGAGACGACACTTAGAAATCTTGTACCCCACGGTGGTGAGACAAGTCTGTTTGCGAGTCTCTGGCACTTGATTAGGGAACGATAGTGGTAGAGAAGGCCACTCCTTCTCTCCCCCGGTGAGCCATGGTGGTCCACTCATCCAGAGATGATTCTTCAGGAACTCGGAAGGTGATTGTCCCCTGGAGATGGCGTCGGCAGGGTTCTCGTGCGTTCGGACGTGTCTCCAGTCTCTAGCGTTGGTCCTTTCTTGAATCTGTGTCACTCTGTTTTTCACGAAAGTTTTCAGTGATTCAGATCTAGTGTTGACCCAATGCAGCACAGTGGACGAATCTGTCCAGAACACAACACGATCAATATTCACATTTATTTGACACACGGTCGAATACATTTGCGCGAGTAACAGCGCGGCACACAGTTCAAGTCGCGGTATCGTTTGAATGTTTTTCAACGGAGTCACGCGCAATTTTGCACACAGCAGTTGAGAGTCCACACGGTTGTCACTGGAAGTAGTCCTGACGTAAATGCACGCACCGTAAGCCTTCTGGCTCGCATCACAGAATCCGTGTAATTGGACGTCCTTGACACTATCTTGCAGAACCTTACGTTTGAACGCAAGGTCGTTGAGAAGAGGAAGTTCATGGGCAAACTCTTGCCATCTCGTTTGAACGTCCTTCGGCACAGATTCATCCCAATTGAGGTTGAGACGCCACAGATCCTGCTTGATGAGCTTTGCCTGGACCACCACTGGATTGAGTAATCCAAGAGGATCAAATATCCTCGCGACGTCTGATGAAATTGTTCTCATCGTTGTCTTGTCCTTTGTAGCGATGGGACACACTGAATAAATGACTTCATCACGGTTGAAATTCCATCGTACACCCAATGTTTTCAACGTTGAGTTGTCTCCATTGAGCAATTGAAGGTTGACAGTGGAGTCCGGGAGTCCTTGAAGAAGCTCTGGATGATTTGAAGCACACTGACGAAGATTGAAACCACCACACTTTAGGAGAGAGATCAAATCATCACGAAGCTGCACTGCTTCTCCAAGAGTGTCTGCACCGGTGGGCACATCGTCCACGTAGAGGTCTCGTTTTAAGACCGTTGAGGCAATTGGATACCTCTCTCGTTCATCGTCGGCCAGTTGTTGGAGGCATCTGACAGCCAGGTAAGGCGCAGAAGCTACTCCGAAGGTGACTGTCTGGAGTTCATAGGCCGCTACCTGATCATTGTCGTCTCTCCATAGGATTCTCTGGTACTTGCGATCATCAGGGCGTACCAGTACTTGACGGTACATTTTCTCGATGTCTCCCGTTAAAACGTAGTTGTGAAACCTGAATCGCAAGATGAGGGAGAATATGTCATCGTGAATAGTCGGCCCGACCATGAGCGCATTGTTGAGAGACACCTTGGTGCTGGAGGCAGCGGAAGCGTCAAACACCACACGAACCTTAGTAGTAAGGCTGGTTTCTTTGATCACTGAATGATGTGGGAGATACAAGCCCTCTTCTATCTCGTCTTCCACCTTCTTCATGTGCCCCAGTTGCAGGTACTCTTCTAATACTGCGGAGTATTGCCGTTTGAAATCTGGATTCTGCTTGAAACGTCTCTCCAGCCCGTAGAGTCTTTGTTCAGCTTGCCTGCGAGAGGAGCCGAGTTGGTGCATCTTGTTGTTGAATGGGAGAGCGACCACATATCGCCCTTCCTCATTCCTCGTCACATGATTGAGGAAGTGTTCCTCACACAGATTCTCCTGTTCCGACGGCTCGTGAGATTGAAGCCCATCTTCAATTTCCCAGAACCGTTTCACTTCGTCCAGGAGACACAGATGATTGCACCTTGCAACGTGGGCATTGCTGCCCGGCATGTTGCCACCGATGATCCAACCGAACACAGTTTTTTGGAGAATGAGGTCTGAGTCTTGCGTTGAGGACAACTTGATTTGACCTCCACTGAGAGCTGCCAACGAGGTACCTGATCCGATGATGAGATCCAATGCTGCTGGCTTGTGGAATTCTGGATCAGCCAATTTGATGTTCCCAGGTATGCCTAGAAGATGACGAGGCACTTGCTGATCAGGAGTACGCTTGGAAATTATTGGCACGATGCGAAAATGGAGCTCTCTCTTGAAGTCATTGGAACACGATTGAATTTTAGCGGAAGTGGAGTGATGAGACATTGTTGTGTTGTCGTTGATGCTCCCGACTGGAACTGCCATCTTTATTTTCTTCAGGCTCAGCTTTGCTGCGAGATCACTGATAATGAAGTTTGTAGATGATCCCGTGTCGAGTAAAGCACGGCAGAGCTCTGGCTTCTGCTGATTGCCAAATACCTTGACGATCGCAGTGGTGATTAAATCATCTGATATCTCCAGTTTGAATGCTATTGCCGCTGGCTCTGCTGCTACACTCTCACCCGAGTGTAGTCATGCTGATGAGTTTGAAGATGGTGGAGATGTTGAATCAATTGGAGACATTGGAGTGGTGTTTGACTCTGGCTTGGATTCTCGATGGAGGAGTATGTGATGGCGTTTTTTGCACTTCTTACACTTGTAGTCACTGGTGCACTCAGTCAGTTGTAGCATAAACTCAGGTTGCTTGTAGTTTTCTCACGTTTGGGGACTGGCATCTTCAAGAAGTCTCCACAATCCATCACTCTGTGCTCCCCTGAGCACACTGCACACCCCTTTTGATACATTGTTGCGAATGATTGGGTCTTGGAATTTGCCTGACCTTTTGAATTCCTTGGTCGTTCTTTGGTTATCACTGACGAAGTTGTTGGTTGGATTGCACTGGAGCAGGTACCACGTACTTCGAGAAATTCGAGTAATGAAGTGTATGAACACATTCCCTTGTTTTTCAACTCGGTTTCCCACTGGTGAAAAGTCTGAGCACTGATTTTACAGGATATTAAATGGATGATCCAGGAATCCCACTTGTCGATTGGTTGCTCCAGGTTCTTCAAAGCACTCAAATGTTGACGCACGGTGTCAACTAGATCCTCAAGAGCGTCTGGGGTATCTCGTTGTAGTTTGGAGATTGACTTCAGGAGTCCGATATGCCTCAAGATGTTCTTTCTTGGATTATCGTACTTGTTCTTCAGCAAATTCCATGTATCTTCGTAATTTTGTTGTGATCCTCCCATTGATGCCACAGCTCGTTTTGCCTTCCCGGGGACATTGGCAAGTAAGTATTGTAGCTTGTAAACTTCAGCAACAGAATCGTTGTTGTGGACCGATGTTTCAAATTTATCCTTGAATTCGGCCCAGTCTTCGATGCTACCATCGAATGTAGGTAAATTCAGCTTTGGGAGTCTCAGCTGTTGTTGAAGAGGAGCGTTGATTGGCGTGTGTGCACTCATGAAGCTGTTGTGTGGAGTTAGAAGCTGGGCAGTACTGTTCGTTGCTGCTCGTTCTATCTCTGCGGTCTTCCGCATGAGTTTCTGGGCTAATGCTAAGCCTTTCTCCAGATCTGCTTCGATTTGTTTGAGCTCCGATTTGTTAGTTGGAGCCTGTTCCTCTGTGTCTTTATCCATGATTTTGTCATGGATATTCGACAAGGATTCTATTTGCTGTTTAATGCTGTCTCGTTTCACCTCGACCTCATCAAAATCTGGATTTTCACGCACTGATTGTAGCCACTGGATAGAGGCTGTGGCACGGTCTTTTATTTCTTCTCGTTTGCGAAGAAGTGTTACGAGTGCAACTGGTGCCATTTCGGTTGGCTCGCTAATATTCACTATTTGACTACTCGATTGAGGATTTTGGGGATCGATACGCATTAATGTTTTTGAATGTTCTTTCTCCCCCGGTCACTACCGATGTGGAGAATCACGACACGTCACTTACGCAATGTGAAGACAGAAAGCACAAACACGGACACACGGACACGGTTTCACGTTGGAATGAATACACGAGAAATACTTTACAAATCCGGCTCGAAGGACCAAAAAATGTATCGTCGAATGATACTTCCAAAACGCCGCGGTCTGCCTTGTTTGGATATTGGATTCGGATTGAAAATGAAATTGGAACACGGGAGATTGTCTTTAAAATAATAATAAATATATTCTGATGATAATGCCGGATTGTACAGTTTTACACGAAGTTTGATATTTTGAATGGACTGTATTGTTGTTGAAGTCGGAACTGTAACTAACTGGAAAATTTGGAAGTCGCAGCTTTTATGTGCGTGGAAGTCAGGAAATTCACGGTGATTGGTTGTTGTGCGGTGGAAGGGATGACTCTTCGGAACGGTGCTAGGATTGGCTAGAAATTGGAAGGGAAGGGAGCGGTTAAGCGGGCAGCGCTGGGATTGGTTTGGCGCAGGGTGGAGGAGAAGGGGTCGCTGGGACTCAAGTGAGTCGGAGTGTGTCAAGACCCACTGGGGTGTTGGCGACGGATTGTCGGGATAGGGATTAGGTGCATCAAGGCTTCCTGGGGTGTTGGCGACAGACTGTCGGGACTAGGGATTAGCAATACCCAAATATTATGAGTGGTTTATGAGGCCAGGTGCAAGCCTTGAATCATGGAATGAGTATTGATGGGTACTAATGATGGGGAACTACGTGAGAAAATAGAGGCTCAGGAACAATTACCGGGGAAATACGCGAGGAAATGAATGTTCAGAAACAATAGTCTAGGAAATTCAAGGAAAGTTGTGAATTTGGCAGCTGCTCTCAAAATATTGAAAATAAAAGAAATGTATGAATAAACGATTCATGGAATTGATCCTCACGACTCAACAATTCTCCAAAGTGAGGAGATTGAAAAAAAATTTTTTTTTCCATTCAAAAATTCATTCCTCCGATCCTAACTGCGACTAAGGGATGAAATTTGTGTCACGTATTGAGTATTAAATGTTCAACACGTTGGCATAAATTTCATCCCTTAGCGCCTAACAGGGAGAGAGGAGTGAATTTTTGAAAGAGCGAAGAGATTGAAAAAAAATTTTTTTTTTCCATTCAAAAATTCATTCCTCCGATCCTAACTGCGACTAAGGGATGAAATTTGTGTCACGTATTGAGTATTAAATGTTCAACACGTTGGCATAAATTTCATCCCTTAGCACCTGTTAGGGAGGGAGGAGTCAATTTTTGAAAGAAGGAAGAGGTTGAAAACAAAAATTTTTTTCAAATGAATTCGCCAAAGTGCGGAGATGAAAAAAAAAATTTTTTTTTCAATTCAAAAATTCATTCCTCCGATCCTAACTGCGCCTAAAGGATGAAATTTGTGCCAACATGTTGAGCATTTAATACTCAATACGTGACACAAATTTTATCCCTTAGGGCCAGTTAGGGAGGGAGGAGGGAATTTTTGAAAGAGCGAAGAGATTGAAAAAAAATTTTTTTTTTCAATTCAAAAATTCATTCCTCCGATCCTAACTGCGCCTAAAGGATGAAATTTGTGCCAACATGTTGAGCATTTAATACTCAATACGTGACACAAATTTTATCCCTTAGGGCCAGTTAGGGAGGGAGGAGTCAATTTTTGAAAGAAGGAAGAGGTTGAAAGCAAAAATTTTTTTCAAATGAATTCTCCAAAGAGCGGAGATTGAAAAAAAATTTTTTTTTTCAATTCACAAATTCATTCCTGCGACCCTAACTGCGACTAAGGGAGAAAATTTGTACCAACGTGTTGAGCATTTAATACTCAATACGTCACACAAATTTCATCCCTTAGCACCTGTTAGGGAGGGAGGAGTGAATTTTTGAAAGAGCGAAGAGATTGAAAAAAA